ATTAATAAACAGTTTGCCATTTATTGAATATATTAGTGAGCAAGAAATGTTGCTTGAACTTGTGAACTACCCTCAGCCTGCTGAAACGGCGGCACATCTCTTTTCCTCCCTCTCTTCCTCCTTACAACAGCATGTTCAAAGGCTTCTTTTGAACAAAAAGACAAGTTAGCAAATGACTAATACTCATTAAATACAATAAATCTGCTTCTTTTTGTTCTATCCATACGCAGGACTGGAAAACAGCACTTACAGAACAAACATCTTTTTAAGAAAAATTAATCCCAGTCCTTCTCTGCTCTCACAAGGTGGAACTTCCCATTTCAAAGCACTCTTAAAACAAATGAGGCTAATGGCATTCTGAGCGCAAATCAGAAAGATTGGATGGGGAATAAAAAATCCTGGAGGAGAATAATCGTGCAGTCTGCTCACCTCTATCATAGTCTCCACCAACACCAGCAATTTTTCCTAACCATTAATGCAGACACGGCTATGAAGGCCTGAGATTAACCAGACTGCCACTGAGCAGCTGTTGGATATATAGCAGGTGACACRTCTTAAACATTTTTAAATAGAAAAAAAAAAAATTCTGTTTTATTTGCTTGTACAGAAAGCAAAATATAACCCGAATCCAGCTCTGCCCTACGCTCAGAGTTTACCCTTTGATATTTCAGGCCGCTAACAAGTTTTTAGATTGCTGACCATCACACAGAGTGGTGTGTGCTAAACTACCTCTCAGGTTTGCTTTATCTCCCAGGCTTATTGGGAACATATTGGGAGCAGAAAAATCTATGTCCGCAGAAAGGATCTTTATGGGCAGTAGGTAGTAAATTATCCTGGAGATACACTATAAAGCTTGGAGGAGTGAAAGGCAGGCCACTCAGCTGCCTATGCTATATACTGCCTAATGGCAGCTGATGGCTCTATCCAAGTGCTCCATTTCCATTACAATATAGCCAAAATAACTCTACCAATCTGGGTATATTAAAAGTACGTATTCCTGCCTCCAAGAAGGAATATATTTCTGCAAGTAACTTTATGCACTAGACAAACTCAGCAGCACAGCTTCCTAAAGGACCTGTTCCTGGGGCTAATCAAAGCCAAACCTAACTTGTCCATACGGACCCTGACAGCCAAGGCTTTCTAATGCACTGTTTGTAAGGCAAATTCTTATCAATGAAGTGATTCATTTAATTGTAAATCAGACTGGCTTGCATATATCAGAAACTTCTCACTATTATATTGTTGTAAAGTTTCCAAATTTGATTTTCTAGGGAAATTCAGTCCAAGTGATCATCACAGCTTCCTTGGTATGCACAGCTGCCAGTCAGTGCCCAAGGTGCTACAAAAGTAAATTTAGAGGAAACAATTCTAGTATTTCTCCACTGGGCAATGCAACATTCTGCAATTCAAGCAGTTTTAAAAAAGGAGTAGTTTTGTGGTTACAACTTCAAATGTGGCATTAAATTTAATTGGTCCAAATAGAAGTTAGTATTCTCTACGAGCCCAGTCTGATCTACTGGGCCCAGCAAGATCTACAGAACTGGCTACCATTTCAGRTTTTGTGTAACAGGCTTTCCTCTCTCTTTTGAGATGGGAAAGAGATAAGCGAWTAAAAGAATATATAAAAAAGAAAATGCCTCTTCTTGGTGCAAATCTCAGTAGCTGATATGGTGAGGAACATATCTCCACTTCAGAACTGCTTTGCCGCTTTAACCTCAACATTGCTATAAAAAAATAAAGTATAAGCCTGAAAACATATAGATGAGCACAACTAAGCGCAGATTAAACCTCGGCCTCCAAAACAGATCCACACAACTGAGGTACTATAAAGAGCAATGCACATGAAGGGAACTAACCTTGYAGTATTTTGCATTTCCTGCAAGACCGAGCACTCTTGCTTTGCTGAATATTTTGCCAGACCTGGCAATACACTGAAAAGAGAGCAAAAGACTTTCATGTCCAGCACCCTTAGTAGCCACGGTGGCCGTTGCGGCAGAAGAGCCAATACGGCATGAAAGGAGCGCCCAGGCCAACCGCAGGGGTGAAGAAGCACCAGGAAGGGAAGCAGGGAAACTAATTCAGTGGAAAATGGACAGGAAAAGCTCCAGCAGATTTTAATAAGCATGAGACTGAGTGACTTTGAACTGCACAGGCTGCATCAAATGGGGGAAGGTAGGGCTGTATTTAGGGAAGTGGGGACGCTTCAGAAGCACGAAAGGGAGGTGGAAATGCAGTGCTGGAGAGGTCCATGTGCTGGGTCAAGAAGCCCTCAGCCTTCAAGGAATGACCTGACAGGGGAATGAGACAGCGGGAGGTACAGCTGGAGGTGAGAATTTGGGTATTAAACTAAGACTGGGGCATTCCAGATGTGTCCTGGAATTGGTGGAGATCTGAGCATCCTGCACAGAGAAGGGCTCATGTCCACAGATCACACTGATGTTTGGGACAACTGAGGCATGAGATCATGGGTTTTAACGCAGCAGGTTCTGACTTCAATGCCTAAGTGAAGCCAGAGAAGCACCTGGCCAGAGGGCTGGTTCCAGAGTGAATGCTATGATGCCCAAAACTGCATGGTCTTTTGCCTTTGAAAGGCACTGAGAATATTTCCAGTGTCTTCTTTCAGAGATTTGCAGACAAAAATTTAACCATGTGTAGCACTCCGAAGAGACATAGCTCTGCCTTTTGCTTTAAAAGGTTAAGGTGAAGAACAAGAAGGGCAGCGAAATTGCTCTAAAAGAAAAAAAATCGCCTGTTTTCCCTGCCGGGAAAAATCCCTTTTGGAGAGTCTGCAGATGCCCATGTGAGACATTGCAGTTTACATCCTGATCYGAAAGAGCAAGAAATGAAGTTAGAAGCTTAGTTTGTCCAGACAGGCATGAAGAATGACATACCCAAATTAATGAAAACAGAGAATTCCACTTTTTGATGTTCAGTTAGCTGCATGTATAACATTTATGAAAAATACGAGTCATTAATCAAGTGCATAACATTCATATTTCTTTTGAGGATACCGGTATCTTTTTACTATGGAAAGACCTGAGAGAGAATGAAGAGCTGGATTTTGCAGACTGCACCAAGGTGCAGCTTGAGTGTAGAAGATAAGACTCCAGCAGAGATAGAGTTTTGAGGAAAAAAGAAAAATTGCCTTTATACCAAACAAAGCAAATGAAAGCACCAAATCCCATAATCTATGCAATCCAGAAGAGAAAGGAAGTTACCACCAGGTACAGCAAGAGATGACTGGGAGCCAAGCAACTAGGGCCAAGGAATACAGGAGTTGAAGGAGAGAACAAAGGTGTTGCCCAAAATGGTGAAAATTCAGTAGTGTGTGAGCTAGGACAGTGACTCAAATCTGGCACACAAGGAGCCTTATGGAAGAATATATGAGCAGCTCGTTTTTTTAATGGACTCTTAATAATAAGACAAGCATAAGCACACAAATACTAAAAAAAAAAAAAAACCCAATAGCAATGTTGTCATGCCTATTCCTATTGAGTGGGAGGGAGTGACGAGTCTCAAAGGAGGATAAGATTATTTCAAAGGATAAAAAAGAGTTGAATGATGGAAGTGTGAAAAGATTACGATGGCCATGATGTATAAGAATATTGATTATTCCAGAGGAAACTGTGCTAAAGTGCAACAACTCTCATCAGCGAGAGACGAAATTTTTGTGCAAAATCTCTCTCAGACACCAGCAGACTAAAATAAAAGGTTGCTCCACTCAAGGCAGCAAAAGAGAGAGCACTGACTTTCAACCTGCTAAATGTATAATAAAGCTACCAAAATAGAAACATTTCACACATAGGAGAAAAACAGCCGTTATCCAGCACAGATTGGAAAGAGCAGCAAATCTGCAGAGGAAAGGATGATTAATAAATATTTAATTTCCTATGTGTTTGGAACAAGGTGGCTGCATACGGCAATGTAAAGAGGGGGRATATGCATTATATAAGTTTGATTATGATGCTTTTCTCTTTTCCTATCCCTGAGCTCATCGTTGTAGCTTCTCACTCCTCCATACATCTGCAAAATAAAACACTAATTGATTTGGGGGCTATAACGCTGAATAATCAAAGATTTCCAGTTTTTCAAGTGAGGCGGATATAAATAGTTCCATTTACATAGGGATGTGTTTACAGCTCCACAGGAATGGCCATTAACTGTTTCACAGCACCAGCCCTGCAGGAGAGAAGCTTCTCATTTGCAGGCACAGCCTGCTACTATAACGTGGGAAGTTTGCACCCCAAAAACACCAGCCCAAACCCCCAAACAAACCCCCAAAATATCTTTTTTTTTTTTTTTTTTAACAGAGAGGAGGAAAATAATAACAGCTATTTTTAAAGTTTGGGGTTTTTTTAAACTAAATTATGTTCATTTCTGAATGGGGAAGGTTTCTTACACAGAAGCTTTAATAGTCACGATGGGATTCACAGTAAGATTCCAGCAGCATTTTCCAGGTGTGAGCAGTGGCTCTGGCGGCTCGGGGGTCTGCAGCAGCCCAAGCCCCACACTTCCCTGCCAGGCAGAGCGACTTTGCCAGTGCCACAGCGCGGGGCAGCCCGCGGGATCACTCGCTGCTGCCTCTCCCTCGGGCATCCTGCGCTGCTCGGCACGGGCATCTAAAGCACACACWGCAAAAGCTTAAGGAAGGCTATAGATGCTATACCTGAAACAAGGGAAACTCCTCCTTGATAGAATTGTTGGATATCAAGCTCCTAGCAGCCTATGAGCCCTTGAGAGGCTCCTCAGAGCAGTCAGCAAAACCACAAACCAATTACACCCCACAATAACTTCAGCACTGGACTCAAAGCCCCCCTCTTCCAAGCCAACAGCAGACAAGAGGAGAGAAGGCGCAAAGCGCTGGGATTCTCCGACCGCGGGCACAGCGCGGGACACTTGCGGCTCCGCGCCTTCCCGCGCAGGCAGCTCTTTGTTGCCGCCAGCAAACGGGAAGGACGGCGGCGCCGGGGCGCGCGGGGGGAGCAAGGAAAGCGCGTTACCTTTCGCGAGCCTCCGCAGGATCTGGCAGCGGCACTTAAAGGACACCGCGATCATCCTCGCTGCCCGCCGGGTTGCGCGGGGCTGCGCTCCGGCGAACGCGGCGGCGGAGCAGCCGGGGGCCCCGCGCGCATCCCCGCCGCGCTGCGCAGCGCCGCCCTGCGCGGGGCCCGTGGGCGCTGACAGCGGCGCGGTGCCCGTGGGCGCTGACAGCGGCGCGGTCCGCGGGGCGCGGAGCAGAGCGCGCGGGGCTCTGCGCCAGGGGCGCGCGCGGAGAGGGCCGCGCGTGGCGGCGAGCGCAGCCCGGCGCCCGCTCCGCTCCCCGCGCTGCCACCGGCCTCGCGCTCCCCTCGGAGCTGCAAAGCGCCGCGCTGGGCGACAGCGAAGCCCGTCTGAGATGGGGGGGAAAAAAAAAGGAAAAAAAAAAAAAAAAAGAAAAAAAGAAAACCTCTAATCAAGGCATTTTTAAGATTTAGCAAGACAAAGGCGGGTTTTAGCACGGGCAAAGCTTTCCGACAATTATGGTCAAGCCTATTACAGCGGCCGAGGCAAAGACCACAGCGGGAGGGAGGGAGCAGAGGGAAAGTGATGGATCGCTGTGTGTGGGCAGGACCGCGGAGCATCCGCTCGCACCCAAATAAATAAAAGATGCCGCGCGGAAAACACCCAGCGAGAATTGGGTTTGCTCCCCTCGCTAGGGACCCGATTTCTGCGCAYGTTAAAAGGCATTTCTTAAGTTACCCACGCAAACCTTGCACCATTTGTACGCATTCTGTGAGATTTCTGAGGCTCAGCAGGAGTCCTGCGTTCTCTTATCTCTACTCACACATCAAATTAACCTGCCGTTAGCGACTCATTCAGAAAAYAATGAAGTGGAACCGCTGCCTAACAGGGGCTCCAGCCCATCTTAACCGAGTCAACGGTTATTAAGGGACAAAGCTCCCCGTTGACCCTAAAAAAAAGAGCCAACAAACAAAAATTAAGCTAAATGAAGTCTGGTAGGTCACATTTTTGCACACAAAAAGTGCTGTGTCGGATAATCTCCTTTAAATTGTTATATACACAATAATTTCTTTGTCAAGACTTGCGCTTCCTTCAGGTGATATATTTTACGCTGTCTTCCTATATTCCCCATTGCATTCACTTGCTTCTATTTCAAAATTGGTCAATTTACTTTCTGACACCTTTTATCCAGGACTGTATTTAATATTATCATCCGGTGCTGGGGGGGACATCTTTTACCTCCAGCAATTTCAGGCTGGAAGATAAGGCCTCCTCTAACACTTGCAACAGCTTCGTTCCCCTGCTCTGAATCAGCACTGCCACTCTTAACACACCCCAACCTGCCATTATATTAATTGTTTTTCGCATTTTTGTCCTCCTGGCGACAGCAATAGCCATATTTCAAAGGCAGAGGTGAAACACTCCATCAGCATAATTGCAATTGCATAGACAGGCCCAGTGAAAATTGATTTTATTTCGCTGTCGTTAAAACCAGATAGGGGCGATGGAGTCATCTGTTCTCCAGCCTTGTTACTACCTCTTGTAGGGTCTCATGTCCCAAAGAAACAGCTGTGAAGTGCAGCCAGCGGCAAAGCAGGATGCACCTGATGGGGTGGGTTGATGCTTCCACACTGTAACTCCAGACTCCTGGGAAGGGACAGGCGGGACACGCAAGGAGGGCTGGCACCAGGGCGGCAATGCAGAATGAAACCAGTATAAGGCAGGGGTGCARAACAAAAAAGGGAAATATTGGATATCACGTATGTATGCGTGGAGGGAGGTGTTATAGACGCTTGTCCCATCGGAAAGATAGGTGGCTCTCTGCCGGCCAGCCCCGTCACCACAGGTTTTGCAGAGGGAACTTGCCCCTGCTCTTTCTTGCCAGGCCCTTCTTGACAAGAGTAGTGCCAACTAATATGAACCTCTTTCAAATTTCCTTTTTCTTTCTTTCCCCAACCTGCAGAAGTTGATTCAGAGATAACTACAACAACCACAGCCACCCCATCGTGGCTTTTGCAAGTTTACAATGCAGAAGCCGCTCTGAATTTGTGGCTTGRTGTGTGGGAGCCAGAGTCCAGCATCCATATTCATCTTTTTTCCACCTGCCAGACACCTGCCCTTGATGTCAGGAAGCTTGACAGGCGCGGACGAACCTGGCTAAGCACCTGCCTTTACTTTATCCTGCTAGATAACAGTCGGTCCAGCTGCCTCATACCGGCTCTTTGCTTCTTCTTGGTTCATAGGGGCCCTGAAGACGGTGCAAAGTGTGGGCCCAGCAGCATCTACAACCAACAAATAGGTCTAAGTTCCCACCTCTTTGGGGACACATCTTGCATTACCTGCCAGCATCAGAACTAGGTTGCTCACCCTCCTCCTCCCTACCCTTCAGAAGAAGGCACCTCTGGTGCACAGCGTGCTCCCGTCCGCCTCTCCTCCTTCCGAGCCCCTTTTTGGGCATTTCTGCTTGCGGAGCAGCGCAAGAGGCTGCACCTACACCCTGGGCAAGGGCCGCTGCCCGTGGCYCCTGGGGCCCTGCTCCGTGTCCTGTGGCTCAGCTACCCGGGCAGAGCCCTCAGGCAGCTACGACACGGCGAAAAACACAGYTTTAACACAAGAAAAACACCCGGCCTGTGTTTCCGTACACGCTGCGCCCCGATCCGATTATGTAAAATCATGTAAAACTGCAACAACAATACAGAAAMAGCAACGCAGAGGGGAAAAGAGCAGCAGGCCTGGTTGGATAAGCCCCTACTACCAGAGAAAATACATAGCCCTTGATCCAGAAAGCTTCTGACATTGTTGACTGCTGCTTCTAGAGCAGTGAGGCGGGCGCCAGGCAGCCTCCGAAGCGCCGCGAGAGCCGCTGCCCAGCAGGTCGACACCATCGCTCCTGTCCGTGCTTCCTTAGGCAATTTCCCAAGCCTTGTCAGAGGAGGCCATGTGCGAATCGGAATTTCCCAAGCCAGATTTCAGATGACAAAGCTATTCACCGAAGGGAGTGATATATTGGATCTACATTTTTTCCCTATTTTTTAATAGTTCAGGAAAGATAAATCTTTTTACTTTTTTGAACAATTTGTAAGATATTTAGTCATGATATTCATGGTTTTATCACCTTTTTGTGGGACGGCCATCACCATAATTGCCAGGATGTTCTYTTCCAAAGTCACAAGTCTGGAATGAATTTAAGCAACTCTTTGATAGTCCTAACTGTACYGAGTATTTTACCAAATTAAGGATTTTGGGATTATTTGAATTCTCCAAAAGTCMGTCAGGGTTTTCTGAGACACCAGTCATTCAGTCTTGCAGCTGAACTTGTCTGGTCAGGAGAAAGAAAAGGGGAAGAGGAAAAAACAAAAAAGGAAAAGAAAAAGAAGGGCAAAAAGGTGCAGGTTATGTAATCCCAAGAGATGAGAGAAACTGCCAGACTTTCTGAAAGATTATTTAGAGTCCTTATAGCATGCCTTAAAATCTTTACTGACTTTGCTTCCTTATTAATTAACATATTTACCAATTTTATTATTGTTTTCTCATGGCATATCTGCAAAACCTTCTTTTTTCATCCCTTTGCCTGATAGCATGACTTTCACTTTTATTTCTGCACTCATTTCTTAGCAGTCTGAAATGTGCTTATAAACACTAAAATATATATAATACTTCCTTAACTAAGTTCATATTCATGAATATTCAGCAGGAGGTGTATTGCACATTAAAAAATAGTTGTGTTTTGGAAAAGTTTGCTTGACAAAAACGATATATTTTCTATGAAGAACATACGAGTGAAATRCACTTCTTTTGTTGAACGGGAATATTCATCCAGCAGGCAGCTCCTCATCAAAGTCTGATCACACACTGCATCATACGAATCCACACTGAGCAGCATCTCAAAATCAGTCACATTCCCCCTGCTCCTTTGCTTTAGGAAGGCTCTGTCCACACGAGCTGCCACATTGACCCATGACAACTGTTTCCAGACGTTGCAGGTCCRTATTTTTCTTTGCAGGGTCGAGGTTGCCTGTCAGCACCGTGTAGGGAATACAGGACGCACTATCCCGCCGTTGGGCCTCATTTGATCAAGGAGGTACAGGCTGAGGAGCTAGTCCTGCAGGAAGCCATGGGGCTCCAGGATGACAATATTGTGCTCAAAACACAGCAGCTGGAAAAATAAACACGTCAAACGCCTCGTGTGTCGGAAAGACRCGATGCTGTTATCAATGGATCTATCTGGCTGAGAAAACAGAGAGAAAATATTCTGAATCCAGAATGCCGAAACCACAAGCCACACAGAATTTCCCATTCTGATTTGATATTTGAGGGGAACTCATTCAGCTTTTCCCACTCATTCGGCATGGGAAATRCTCTGGGCTGCAAAGGGCACCCGTGGCACTCAGCCGGGGCCGGTGGAAACGCTTTGCCGTAACGCAGCATAAGGCAAATCCGCTGCTTCCACACGCAACTGAGCAACTCAGGGCTTTAAAAACTAAAGGAAATAAAATGTTTTAAGTCAAAAATGCACTTCCTGAATTGGGTCACTATTCTATATACAAGAGAAGTAACTTTTTTTTTGATTTAATCCCAGAATTTTCAGGTGAAGAAAAATACTCTTTGGTCTTATCGTACCATACATTTTGATCTTAATCATATCATTATTAAAAGATACCACAAGCATCTTGCACATTATTCAAATAAAAAAGTCAGATTTTTAATGCCAAAAAAAAAAGAAAAAAAAAAGGAAAGACTTAGTTCTGAAAATAATAGAAGTCATTATAAATACTTCTGTTTTGAAAACTGAAACATTTCAACTATTTTCTCCTTGGATACTCATATCAAGGATGAACTAGCATCAAAGCTATGAATGTCAATGTTAAAACAAAACAAAAACTCGACATTTTCCATCACAACAACAACAGATGTATTCCCATGGAAGAGCAGACTTAGTCCATCAAGCATTTTGCAATGGACACGGGTCCACTATAACGTTTCCACCTTACTATAAAAGGAGGGAATAAAAAACAAGCAGCAACAATCTTCTTGTTCCCAGGCACACAGATTCT